AACCCCAGTATAGTGTTTGGGACCCCAGTATAAGGTTTGAGGCTCCAACATGGTCCGGAACCCTAGCATAAGGTTTGGAATCACTCATTCAAATTTGTATAAATAAGATACATGCTTAATAAATAAAATAATTCTTTTTACTAAGTCTAATAAATATTAAGATAATTGCGACCCTTAATTGTTTTTAGTTGGAATGATAAGTAATAATCTTGTGTAATATAATCTAACATCTGAGTCATAGTACCCTAGTACCATTATTTAGTTATAACCAAGCTGCTGATATTAGTCACAAGATCCATAACAACTTACAGCAATCTGAAAATCTTAATCTACAAAATAAATCTGTTTACTCAATGATAGTTAAGCCTAGATTATGTTTATACTTGTAGCATTATATGAAAAATTAGGTAGCAATTTAATAAAACTCTTTTTAACTGTTATATTTTAGTACTAATTGTATAAATATATTTGTGTATTGGTGAATTATAATAATTATTATTAAATCTGCTAGTATTAACATATTTATAATTTATAGGTATTTCAAATATAGTATTTTAAAATAATTTAAATTAAAAAAATTATAAATAAAACAAAGAATAGAATACAGTTTTATTTTAACCAATTCTAAATAGTTATTTATTCTAAATTCTTAACCAAAAATTATTTAACATATTTTAATAATTATATATAAGATATATCTAAAAATTTTTTTAATATAAATTTGTAGTTTAAATACTTTAAGCAAAGCTATTAGTCTAAGAAATTATAGTAGTTATAGAATAATAAATTTTATAAAAATCATCTGTTTAAGATAAGAGTATTTAAATAGTATGTTCTTTAATATATAAATAGTTTTAATAGTTAATTTAAAAGTTATTTATTGTAATATAAATACTTATGCTTTATTTCTAAATTCTAATTTTTACAAATAGAGTTATATTTTAAAATGTTACTATAATAATAAGACTTGTTAGTTAGAAAAGTTAGTAGAAAGAATTTTTCTAATTTAAAAAAAGATCAAAATATTAAAATTGGATTGGTAATTATTATTATTTTTTTGGTGTTAAGGTGCCTTCTTTGGTCTTTTGACTTTTATTAATGACTTATTAGTAATATGATTCTATGAACCACTACAGAAGAGAGTACAATTGACTATATATATAACTTTTCTATATTAGCTATTTAAGAAGTTCACCCAAAGGTCTTTACTAATTGCTATATTAAACAACTTGCTTGGATTTTTTATTTTAAATTCTCTAAACCTGTAATCTGTGTTAACTCACTAGATTATACCCAGATGCCAAGAGCATCATCTCAACTTTAGAACTAATTTATTTTTAAGATAAACTCTCTAAACTCTTCTGTATCCACTTTTATGGCTAACCTAGATATCATTATAACAGAACCAACACTTGTAGTCAGAATTATATTATTTAACAACTGTACCCTTGTAGAGTTCACACAGATCTCAGTATTTGCTTCACAGCATAACTTCAATACTTTAGTATATACCTGTTTTTGTCCAGTCTTTTTACCAATTTTCTAATTTAGATAGCCTATATAGAACTATAACCAGTTCATTAGTATATCAGATCAGCCTGATATTCTTTTTCTCCAGTTTGTTTTAATGGCCTAGTTGGTAGTATTTCTGAGACTCCTAGCCTGAAGGTTCTTGCCTATTTGACTATTATAACTGGATATTATTTTCTTGGTATTTGTTTCTCAGAACTAGTCTTTATAGTAGAGTTATCAAAGATCTAATTACTTTTCTACTTAGTTCTTTCTAAATAGATTTTTTATTACAAAATTTCAATAAATTTACATGGTTACAAAGACTTATCTAGTGTTTGTATTATCTAATTTGTCAGTTTGTATTTCTCTGTATAACAAATTATACAAATATCCCATGACCTACCAGTCATGCTGATGCTATTGGCATTACAGATATTTTAATCTAATTGTTAGTAACAATTATTATAATACAAATATTATATAGGTGATTATCCAAATTTTCACTATCAATGGGATTTGAACACCCAACCTACCACTTAGAAGTTGACAACCTAACTACTTTACTAAGTTATTACATCTTTTAGTTTAATAATTATTGAATTATAATTAATTTATATTTATATAATAATAATTAAAAGGTTTCTTTATAATATTTTTATTTTTAATTCTTTATTGATTAAAATTATCATCATTGTTTTAATATTAAACAACATATTTCAAAGAAATTTTAGTACCAAAATATAATTAGTAAAAATTTTTAAATAAAAATAGTTTAAATTTTAGATCAAATAGATTAAAATTAATAAAGTTTATTTATAACTAATTAATTTTAATTATCTACAATAAATTAAGAATTTTATTTTATAGTTATTGCTAAAAAATTAATATAAAAATTTATGTTTTCTAGAATTTTTAGTGACTGCTTATTATATTATAAAAACTATGATTTTATAGTTTAAATATAACAATTAGAAAAAAACCTAACTAAAAAAATTTTTTGTAATAATTTATATATAAGACTAAGAGATAATAATAAATAGTATATAAAGATATTAAATATTATATTTATTTATTTAAAGTGTATAAAGATACTTAACTTTCTTAGAAAAAAGAAAGCAATGCTTTTATAGATAATTTATATATATAAATAATTACAATAAAGAATATTATATTATATTAAATATTATATATAATGTGACAGGTTTAATGTCAAGTCCAGAAATAGGAACAAATGTAACAGATTGTCACTAAAAAAAGGGTTATGCCATGTAATGTTCCTCAAAGATAATAGAGGCAGTTTAATGATTTGACACAAGGTCAAGATAATCATTTAAGAAGCATTACAAAATAAGTATTATGGTTTTTAAAAAGCATTATTATATTAACAATTCAAAGAATCTTTAATAATTTTATTAATATTTTGTAGGGTCAATACAAGTATATTATTAAGGGTTATTCTGAATTATATTGAACTATACTAGATTATGTTAAGATACCTTTTAGGAGAAGGAAATTTCACTCTTTTTATAATGAATTGAACAAAAAAAGAACTCATGCAAGACCACAACTCTCCTCATTATTCTCTAACATTTTTCAATCTTATTTGTTATAACTTTTAATTCCTTCTATACAACCTTTTGTTACTTTAACATTTCTCATAGCTTTTATAGTACCAATGAGAAATGTTTCAGTTCATGATCCCAGGACCAGATCATATTGTCTTCAATCACACCTCCTTAACATCACCTCATACCTAACTCAAGTAAGGCGGGTAGAGTCAATATCCATTTTCAGCACAACAGGTTAATCCAGGTCAACCTTACTTTAATTAGAAGAGATGGTTGGGTCCTGCATGGAGGCTGTGTATTTTCATATAACTTTTTTGAGGCTGAGTGCACATGTTTCAGATAGATCATCATGGATAACTTTAATTAGATAAGTATGCCACAATGATGTCCATTTCACAGGTTCTAACAATAAAAATAAAAAATATAAAAAATATAATATATACTATAAAAGATATGATAATTTAGTGAAGTAGATAAATTGTCAACCTCTATGTAGTAGGTTGGGTATTTAAATTTTATCATCAATGAAAATTTGGATAATTACTTATATAATATTTGTATTATAACAATTGTTTCTAATGATTGAGCTAATATATCTATAATGGTAATTACACCAGCATGACTGGTATTTCATAGGGCATCTGTATAAGTATAGTGTTACAAAAAGAAATGCAAACCAGTATCAGGCAATGCAAACTCTAAATAAGTCCTTGTAACTATATAAATCTGTTAAAATTAAAAAAAAAGTTTATTTAAGAAGATCAATTATTATTCTTTTACAGCACTAGTCTAATATTACTCTCCAAAAGTGATATTGAAACTGAAAATCTAAGAATAGAACATAAGCATTCAATAGTTATAAACATCAGTTTGTCTTGTAAGTCATGTACATTTTCGAGTTAAGAAACAATAGTTGTGTTCAATTCAAAATGGATGTCTTGGAATAAGAGTAATTATGACAGTAATGTCTTGAAAGGTAGATGTAATGATAAAGAAGCCCAATTATGGGTCTAGCCTAAATTAAAGAAAGAAAATAAGTAAGCTTTATATGAAGGAAGTTCTAAATTAGCAGATAATGTATGGGAAAGAGAGCTAGATCTTAAGAACAACAGAAAGATATTGTTCCGTCATTAGAGTATTGTAGATATTTATATACAAAAATATGCATTTAAGGACTTAAATTAACTTTAATAAATTTTCTTCAGACTTCAATCTTACAATCGTATTAATAAATTTATTCAAATGTCATATAATTATTACTCCGTAACGACTTCAATAGTTATCAATCGTTAATACATCTTAACAATATTTTTTATTCCCCTTGCACCCTTAAAAAATTTATCTTTAAGAATTTCTTTATTTAAGATTCTTAAATACCACCCTACATACAATCGTAATTACATCGTCCCGTATTCAAACTGCATTATACGAACAAAGTTGCCCCTGCTAACATTATTAGAGCTCTTATTATCATCGCGCATATAAACCCAAGTTTTAACCGTTATCCCCCCTTAGTTCACTATCGATGAGTTAAAGAATTCAGAACTCGATAGTAACATTGTATTGCCGTGAAATAACGCCCATGAGCATTATTTAGAATATTTTCCTGAATTAAGCTTAATTTAGAACGAAATTCGAAATTATACCTATGCGCGCTATTTCACGACAATATGGTAAATGCATTTCTTTATTTAAGATCTGAGAGAAATTTTACGATTAGCTTCAATAATGATGTATCATTATGAGAAAATTATATTAAAAATTTTTTATTATATTGTATAAAATATAAATTCAGATTTTCTAATTTTAATGTTTATAATACTATTACGTAAAGGAATAAAAAAATGATATTGTAGCAAAAAATTTTAAACATAGATTGTTGAGTTGCAAGATATCAGAAACAATGACATATAATATCCATTATCCAGAATTATCGTTCAACATCGTCAACGTATTTACATCTTCAAATAATAAATGATTGGAATTTCCGGGTTCGCTTTGTATATATTCAAATGGTTGAATATAAGTAAATTCACCGTATTTATGAGTAACTATACCATGTGCATTCACCATACGTGTATCATCATTAATATTAGAATAACTAAATACAGGAGCTCCATAATCTAATGGTTGTGCTTTAACATTAATTTTTATTGTCTTATGATAAGTTGATCTTATAGTTCTTGCTAAATTCCTTGCCTTTGTGATCACACGGGCGTTAAATTGTTCTACCTCTACACACTTAATCGTTGAGGCGACTCCAGAATAGCATTTAAATTTTGGAAGCTTGAAATAAATAGTGGATTTTCAAAATCATTTGGATTATTTATACGCGCACTTGGTTTGAAGTTGTCTGCATGTTTCTTGATTAAAGCATAGTCTACAGAATCCAAACTAAAACGAGTAAGATTTCCAAAATAATTCCTTAACTGTCTCCTGACTCTTGAGTGATAAATTTCATTGGATTCAACTGCAAAAGTATAACGTCTTGTAGTTACGAGATATTGTCGAAAATCAGTTGTATTAATTGCCCAAAAGCCTACTGAACATAAAGTCTTATAAATAAATCTTGTAAATTTCTGATGTGCAATGCATCACCGCCTTGGGCTACAATATCTATTCGTCTTTTATTTTGAGGCATCAAAATAGATAAATTAGCTGAATTATTTTCTAATAAATCATCTGATGAATCACCTGATAAATAATTCATTATTATAATTAATTTAAATGGAGTAATGCTTTTTAGAAATAATTCATTCTCCTTATCATCCTCTTTGCTCAAGTCTATAACGATTTTATTATATTTTAGATTAATACCAATCATGGATTATTCTTATCAGCTAAATCATTTAAATTTTTAAATGAAGATTCTAACTGTAAAATTGAATTGTTTGCAGGTATAAAAGTTAATAAATCATTAAAATCTTTTAAAATGATTTTATGATACTTTAGATGAGTCTACTGTATTGATAAAAACTTTGTTAGCCTTTACATCTATATAAGCTCCACCAAAGCTTGCATTGTGATGAAATAGTAATGGTGTCAATATTTTAGTCGCATTAATTAAATTTCTCTCAATAGCTAGTAAATTAGGTACTTTGCTCTCAATGGAACAAATTTAGCCGTTGAGAAATTCTGCATTAGCGTAAATAATAATAGATTTATTAAATAGTGAATAAATCGCATGCTTGATATTAGTAAAAAATAATAATGGATAAGCTTAAGTAATATGATAGTGTTTTATCGACGATAAAAATTAGGCCATTTAAATAGAGCTTCTAATCATATGTAGCTTTAATTCTTAAAATAAGTAAAGGATTAAGAGTCAAAGATGGATGTAAAATAATGAAAAAAGCTAGCATTAAATGATATTGAATAATATTGAATGGTGCAGATAAAAATTGTGTTAACGGTTAATCGCATCGCTTAACTATAAGCTACATAATTATTAATGGTTTAACCGCCTATTAATTGTTTAACCGTTTATTAAACGTTTTGTTGTTTATTAATCGTTTATCTGTTTGACTGTTATTAATAATTTAATCAGTAATCCGTTTAACCACTTATTAAATAATTTAAACGTTTATTGATCATTTTGCCAATCAATTATACGAATTAGATATTAATTACTGAGTAATACAAATAGTAGCAGTGGTTTGGTAAAGTAGTGGAATATAATACGTTAAAAATGATCACAACACGTCACATTATAATGAAGTTCCTACTACAACTTATAGTGAGACAATATTAGACTCAAAAATACCAGACTCGAAAATACTAGATATACTTTCTAATTCCGTAATTTTAAATTCTTTTTTTATATCATGTATTCATTATAACAAAGGTGAGCTGTATTTAGGCAAACTGGTTCTTTTCATTATTTAACGCGTGAGTTTATTTTTAGAACTCTACAACCTTTTGTGGCTTCATTTTAATAATTTATATGTGTTAATTCGATTCATGAAAGAAGGCAGATTCCAATTACATTTTTGGATATAACGAACTCTGAAATTTTTAACATGTAGATTTTATATACTTGATAATTCAATATCATTTGGACAAGTTAATTCATGTTTACAATTCATTTTAAATTTGTTCGAAATATTTATTAATAAAGTTTCTTCTCGATTCCAATTAATTGATTGGAGTCGCAGCCACAGAGAGTTGATTAATTGCAATTTTTATAGTTGTTTGAAAATATGATAAAATATGTAATAATAAACATATGGTATGAGTATATTTGTTGTCAAAACTTGTAATTTTTTAAAAAAGCAACCAATTAAGCATTTTTTGAATGACAAGATTTACAAATTATGCAAGACACAAAAATATTAATTTACAGTCCTTTATAAAAACATGTATATGGTATAGCATGCTAGAGTTCTGAACAAATGTTGCATAGATGTCTTTTTAAACCTTCAAATGACGGTAGACATTAGAGTAATTTTTTGTTCTTCCGGATCATAGTGGATAATCAAATAGATGCTTTTTTTTTAGACTTTCAAATGATGGCAGGTATTAGTGTGATTTATGTTCTTTCAGATCACAGTCAATAATCAAAAAGATGATCTTTTTAAACCTCTAAATGATGTTGATCATCAGTGTAATGTATATTATTATTGCTCAATCAGATGACTTTATTTAAACAACTGAAAACTTTATTTAACAAAGCTGAAAAACATATGGGAATAGGAGTTTGCTATCCTTGCCGGCTCTAATCTACATTATCTCATTCTACTCTATGATAACCTATATTTCTGGCAAAACAGCAAGCAAAGATCATCATTCAAGACCTGTAAGACTAGATGGCGATCCAAACCATTTACATACTAAATCGATTTCAAGTAGGGAGACTTCTCTATAGCGAAGAAGAGAATCGGTATATATGTCAATGCTGCTATAAGCAAGATAACCTTCTTATTATGTCCTTGTACTGTCACTTGCAGTTGTGAAAACCCATGCATACTAGTTCTTGTACTATTACTGCAGCTGTGGAGGCCAACAAGAACATCAGGTCCTTGCACTGCTAGCGCAGCCATGGAGCCTGGCATCACAAATCATCAGGTCCTTGCACTGTCAACACAGCCGTGGAGTCTGGTATAACAAATCATCAGGTCCTTGCACTGCTAATGCAGCATTGGAGCCTGGAATCACAAAACATCAGGTCCTTGCACTGCTAACGCAGCTGTGGAACCTGTCATAACATCATTTTCACTTGCTCGACTTCGGGTGGGTAAGGGAGGGAATAGAGCCAGCCTCTACAAAGGCGAGCGATAGCGAAGAAAAGGGATACTTTCTTCCCAAAAGACAATCAGCCTTAAATATCCTGTTTGCCATTGTCCTTTACCCCTGTACCGATCTAACAATAAACACAATAATGAGCACTTTGGAAATCATATGCTAATAACAAATTATCTGCACAAAAACAAGTTTCCACATATAACAACAATAATTAAAGAATAACCATAAAAGGATACATTTAAACCTGTAATATGTCCGATAATAAAGTCATCTGATTTCGCAATAATGATCGCCCTGTCACTTCGTTGACAAGCTTTTCATTCTTTTGAAGATGCCTTTTTTAGACCTTCAAATGATGGCAAATATCGGTGTAATCTATGTTCTTCCGGTCAAAGCTGATAATCAAAAAAAAAGAAACAGGTTATACAAATTTAATGAATCATTTAGATACGAATACGGGTACAGTTAATGGCATTGTAATTTTGTGGTTTAATATAATTAGATACGGTTACATATAATCGGTTTTTTCAGTTTCTTAAAATTTTACATTATCGAGAAATTTATAGTAAAGGTAAAAATTGCAATTAAATTAAATTGTAATTGTTTTTATAACAATTTAGTTGAATGTAATTACATAAAACTGTGCTGTAATAAATTTTTCGTTATCCCTGTTAAGAATATGGTTAATTATTTATCCTGGTCTAATAATAGTAGTTTCGTCTCTTAAAAACAATTAAGAAAACTTTTCCTTCTAAAAAAAAATAATATTCTAAAAAAGTAAAGGATTGATAAAAAAATTTTTGGATTCAAACTTTTCTAGAGAATTATAAGTTTGAAATGAGTTTGTGAAAAACTTGATTTTTTACGTTAAAGCGGTCTCATAAAAAAATCTCAATTTTATAAGAGCAGCGCATACAACCCTATAAAAATCATAATTTTATAATTACTTCTAAATTCTTTTTGGTACTGTCTCAGTTTTTTTATTATATTTTTATTAAACCGATAAATAAATACATTTCTGTTGAATTTTCGTGAGGTTACATAATAATTAAATTCTTTACAACTATACTATTTTATACGAATAAAATATTTATACAAAATTGTTTAAGTTAAATTGATCGTTTTGAAAGTTAATAACCTATTTACATACAGTACAATGTCGAATTGGCTTTTATCAAATTTGCAAATTCGACATTTGCTTCGTGAACTTCCAGTTGGTTCTACCGACCACCCGTTAGGCCCTCTTTGGCAAGCTTTCAACAGTTAAAACTAACAAAAGGCTTAAAGCCAAATGCATATTTTGTAATCATGATAAACTTATATCTTCATTGCCGCAGTAATGGTTAAAAGAATGTAGATTTTGTGTATCTTGTGTCATATCATAAAAATCATCCGATTACCGCATCCAATCAGATTCAAGATTTGTGACGAATGTAAAACTCGAGTTAAACCATACACTACGTTCCTGGTATATATTCTCCATTTTCACTTACGGAAACTCCGTTCTTGTTATAAATTTTTTTTTAGTAATTTGCTTGTTTCCTATATTTAGTTTAATATTATGTTTTATTATGTTTGGTTGTCTGATGTGCAATACAAATTATTTTATAACAACCTTCAACTTATAAAATTGTTTCTGAAGTTTTAAAAGAATGAAAGGTTTACTATTTATTACTCATTAAAATAATTCTAATTTATTAAAAAAACATTTATTTTTTCTTTGGTTAATTGAATTTAATAAAAAATTTACAATCCAGAAAATTATGTCATTGTAGTTTTATGATTATTATTGAAATTTATTTTTCAATTGTTATTAATTAAGAATCAAAAAATTTCATGATCGATGCAAAACAACTGCATAATTGTTTTTGACTCTATTTTACAAACATCTAAAAGGATCATTAAATTAGTCTGTTGATCTCTCTTATTTGATTTAGAATGTTCTTAAGTACTTTAGTTAAAAGATAAAGGTAAATTTTTAATTAAAAATTGAATAAACAAAAAATTAGTTGACATGTTGATAGATAAAACCTGGAAATGCAGACCATTTTTTTTTATTAAAGTTACTCTCTGATTAACTAAAATTTGGAACTTTTACACAGTTAATTTAAATAACTATGCGAAAAATATATGGTAGTCATATAGTTACTACAAAATTACTATGTAGGTAGTGTATTAAGAATTTCAAGTTTCTATAAAGAAGTTGCTCTCAATTAGCCGCATTAATCACAATTAATTTTACATCTCGATCACCACATTGTGAGAGCTTCCGTTTACAACATTTATATTAGGTAATATATACTGGAGGCAAAATCCGTTAAACTAAATTCATGGCTCTTTCAAAGTGATAACATTTTTAAACAAATACATTATAAAAATATTTAATAAATTTCTAATTAATCATATAGTTTTTCAAAATGATAATGTTACCTAACGAATGCCTTTTTGAAATATTTACTAATTTTAAAACTAATTATAAAAACCTTATTCTCATGCCTTCTTGTAAACCGTCGATGGTGCAGAATTATTATACCAATATTATGGAGTGAACCGACAAATTATTTAAATGATGAAAGACTTATA